CACTGTGACCTGTGAAACCCATGGTTTGCCACTGTGGCCCTCAGATCCTGCATCTCTTCACCTAAATCTTCTGCCACTGTGACCTGTGAAACCCAAGATCTGCCACTGCCATGAAAGATGAAACACAAATTCTGCTGCTGGACCATTGGCCATCGCTGTGAGCAAGACCTTGGTGGTTAGTGCAAGGTTGCTGTCTCCAATCTTGCTGAAACTGAGAGGACTAAGAGAATACAAAGGTAAGAATTAGATTGGATGGTTCATTTTTTCTCTCTTCTAGATTTCCATTAGTGTGATGACTTGTATCTTTTGATGTTCAAATCAAATTTATTTTTTCTTTCATTTTGAAACATGGTTTGAAGGTTTTCATTATTCTTGTTCAAAGATGTTTGTTTTCAGACTGCACAATCTTCTGTTCTCACAATTGGACTCCAATCCCGGAATGCTGTTGGACATTCCATTTTTTCCAAACTATGAACCTGAGTTGAGGATGTTCCCTGCACAAATTTCAGCCGGAGCAGCAATTTCTTCTATATGCGATCATTCACTGTTGTGACCATGGACATGTTCCAGACCCAAGGGAACTGAATCTAGATTTTCCATATCTATATCCTTTGAAAATCTTTCCTGCAAAAGTTTGGATGAGAGCCTTTATGGCTGCAACCTTCAATATTCCTCAAATCCAAAAAAATCCCAGGCCCTACATGGGAGGGTATGAGATTCCACAGGAAGCTTCAATTCCTAAAATCCTAGATAAAGGAGTGGAACCGTTTGGAGTTTGGAAGATTGGAGGAAAGAAAGCAGATATTGATGGAGCAGATAGAGGAATTGGACTTGAAGGAAGAAAGGGGATCTTTTGGAGAGGAAGACAGGGATTTGAGGTGGAGTGTGAGGAGGCAGATGGAGGATCTCTTTCTTAAGGAGGAAATAAGCTGGAGACAAAAATCCAGATTTAAATAGTTAAAGGAGGGAGATAGAAACACTAGGTTTTTCCATTCTATGAAAAATGGTAGGAAGAGAAAGAATTTCATCTCAAAATTGGAAGTTGAAGGTGCAGTCATATCCCACCCGACAGAAATAGCCGAGGCCTTTGTAAATCATTTTAAATCTATTTTTAGAAGGCCTTTAAATGAGGGGGTTTGGTTGGAGGGGCTGGAATGGCCAACTCTTAGTGTAGAGAACAGAAAGTGGTTAGAGAAGAATTTTGATCTAGAGGAGATAAAGGAAGCAGTGTTCTCGATGGATAGGACGAAAGCTCCAGGCCCAGATGGTTTCACAATGGCATTTTATCAGGATTGTTGGGATATTGTGAAGTAGGATCTTGTGTTAGTTTTTGAGGAGTTTCATGGAAGGGGAATAATTAATCAGGGTCTAAATTTCACATTCATTGCTTTGGTCCCAAAGAAGAAAGAGGCTTCACAACCAAGGGATTTTAGACCTGTTAGCATGGTGAATAGTCTGTACAAGATAATTGCAAAAGTGTTGTCTCTAAGGATAAAGAAAGTTCTTCCTACCATTATTGCACCCAACTAAGGAGCTTTTATGAAGGGAAGGCAGATAACTAATCAAATATTGATTGCAAATGAGAGTTTGGAGAGCTTTAGGGAATCCAAGAAGGGAGTGGTATGCAAATTAGACTTTGAGAAGGTTTATGACCTGGTTGATTGGTCCTTCTGGGTGGAGGTGATGGGAAGTTTTGGCTTTGGAGATAGATGGTGTAATTGGATTTGGTGTTGTGTTAGGACTTGCCACTATTCTATCTTGGTGAATGGAACCATGATGGACTTCTTTCCTGCCTTGGGACGAATAAGACAAGGAGATGCACTTTCCCCCTTTCTATTCACTTTGATTGTAGATGTCCTAGGGAGTCTGGTCCATAGAGATGACTCGAGGAACTTAATAAAATGATGGAGAGTAGAAAGGGAGGAAGTGCCACTTACATACATGCAGTTTGCAGATGACACAATCTTGTTTTGTGATGGTGGGGACATAAATTGGATCAGGAATTTAAAATTGGCAATACAACTCTTTGAGCAGATGTCTAATCTCAAAATGAACTTTGATAAGAGTTGTATGGTGGGAGTGAATTTGGAGGAGAGGGAAGTAAGTGAATATGCAAATATGTTAGGTTGTGCAATCTTGGATTGGCCTTTGATTTACTTGGGCCTCCCCTTAGGAGATAACCCCAGGAATGAAAGTTTTTGGAACCCGGTATTGGAGAGATTTGAGAAAAGGCTTGCTTCTTGGAGGAAAAATTATCTCTCCTTAGGGGGGAGAATCACTTTGATTAGGTCTGCCCTAGCTAACCTTGCTGTTTACTTCCTGTCAGTGTTTAAGATTCCCACAAAAGTCTCTAATAGTGTGGAAAAGTTAATGAGGGATTTTTTTGTGGGAACCAAGAGAGGAGAAGAAAGATCGCAGGGTGAGTTGGGAGGTGATAACTAAAAGTAAGAAGCTAGGAGGGCTTGGGATTGGGAATATTAGGAAAAGAAACATGGCATTGTTGGGGAAATGTTTGTGGAGGTTTCCACTGGAAAGGGACAAATTGTGGATGAAGATAGTGGCTAGCATACATGGGCTGGAAGAGAATGACTGGGATCTAGGAATTATGGCAAGGGCTACAGCTGCTTCCCCTTGGAAAGCCATTCATGAACTTCTTCCAGTTTTCTCCCCTTGGATCAGGTATGATTTGAACTCTGGTAATCGAATAAAATTTTGGGAGCAACCTTGGGTTGGGGACTTACCCCTGATGGACCAATTTCCCTCTTTGTATGCTTTGTCAGCTTTGAAAAATGAACCCATATCCTCTTTCTTAGTCCCTTCAGAATCTACTTCTGGTTTTGGGTGGAACTTGGGCCTGAGAAGGGAAATTAGGGATACAGACTTGGGTTGTATTTCATCATTTTGCTAGCCATCCTTAATAATGTCTTCTTGGACCCTAGTAAGGAAGACACCAAATTTTGGACCCCTTCCTCCTCTGGTTCCTTTTCTTGTGCTTTGTTTTTTGAAACTTTAATTCAGCCTCTTGTTCCTATTGGGTTGTCCTTCCTTGTTAATGAGATTTGGAGCAAACCCATTCCTCCTCGGGTTGGTAGTTTTTGTTGGGAAACTTTCCTAGAAAGAATTAACACAAATGACTTGCTTCAGAGAAAGAGACCCAATTTTTCTTTACTTCCCAATAGGTGTAATCTTTGCAAAGTTTATGGAGAAATGGGTTACCACCTTATGATTATTTGTCCGGTTACTAAAACTCTTTGGGAGTGGGCTTTCTCCCTTTTTGGATGTACTTGGAATCCCCCCGTGAGTGTGCAAAGTTTGTTCTCTCCTTCGCTCTTCAGATGGCCTAAGAAAAGATGGAAGATTATGTGGAGAAGCATTAGGGCGACAATGTGTTGGTCCATATGGGAAGAGAGAAACTCACGAATCTTTTTAGACAAGGAAAGAACCACGGGAAACTTATTAGAGCTGATACACTTAGGGGTAGCTCACTGGCTGAAATCTATGGAGCTATTCTTAGAATTTTCCATGGCCGACTTTTTGAGAAAGTGGAAAGAGATAGCTACCTCTGCCCATTGTAAGAGGACTCCTAGGCCCTCTTGGCCCCCCCTCCCTCTGGATTCATAAACCTGAATTTTGATGGTAGTAGCTTAAGGAATCCAGGGCTCTTGGATTGGGGGAGTGTTCAGGAATGAGGATGGGGTTATTACTGCTATGATCTCAGGTTCAATTGGAGAGGGCGACTCTCTTAGGGTTGAGACTCTAGCAGTTCTGGAAGGAATCCAAAGGGCAAGAGAACTAAACATCAAATGCTTGGTCCTTGAAGGGAACTCGGAGGTGGTGATTAGGTGGCTGAAGGGAGACAACAATGGTTTGTGGAGCTACAGCAATGAAAAGAAAAAATTTAAATGGCCGAGTAGGGATATTGAGATGAAGTACAAATGGGTGAAGAGAAGTGCTAACTCAATGGCCGATGGATTAGCCAAGCAAGGGGTGTTTAAGGAATCTCTGTTTTGGGCTAATTTTTAGCTTCTTTTTTGTTCTTTTGTTGTTGGGGAGTTAAGATTTTCACAAATCTTATTCATTAATAAAGCTTGTTATTGATAAAAAAAGATAAGATCCAATAATCTGACAACTCCAACTGATTCAAACTAAGAAATCATAGATATGGTTGGATTTTGGATTGAATTTGGATGTCGTATATATCTTATCAATTCGAATTTGGGTGGAGGTAGATCTGAGTCCAATCTGTTTACAGCCCTAGTTGCCACAAATCTGAACCAACTGCATCTTGTTGCTAGAAAAGAGAGGCTCTCCAAATGCTTGCTTGAAACAGTTTTTGGTGGCAGGATTTATTTTCACAATCATACAGGGTCATTACCCAATTAATCCCCAGTTATCCATGGTCTTGGTAGGGATGGACTAGATAGACCTAACCTTTGATATTTTTTGGACAAAGTGACTTCTCTCTGATTCAAACCCATGTTACTCATTCTTGTCAGTGAGATTTTACCATTAAGTGAATTGAGTTTGTTTTACAATCCATACCTCACTGTGGGGCAGTTTTCATAATACTTTGTCAAGTTGGCTTAATAACTCTTAGTTGAACAGGACTAGAAAAAAAATTCTGAGTTAAATTGGGGGCCTTTAGTTTCTATCAGGAAACTGACTAATTGCAAGCATTGAACAATATGATAGTTGATTGGCTGAGTGCATCGAATATAAGAAATGATTGATAATGCATTGGATATAAGAATAGAGTGTGCTCTCTATTGTTTGAAATTTTAAATTCATTTTGGTGTTTTTAGATGTGTCTGGCTATGGAACCAACTGATCCATAAAACCTGGGAAGATGAATACAAGACATAAGGAAACAGAGGTGGAAAGACAACTGTTGCTTTGTCTCATACTTATATGTATATTCTGTTCCTGGCAACTGCTGTTACCCCTATTTCTCTTCATATTATCATTGTTTTCTTAAATAGAAATAACACTATTGGTTGCAGTTGCTTCACAACCGAGATTCTGGAAGGATTTGATGTGCAGAGAACGAGTGGCCTGTCTGATACAGTTAGAAAATATGGTTTTCTCACACAAGCAATAACAAATTATTACGGAACAGAGTTTTCGGATGACAAGGTTAAAAACACCATCTGCCCTTCTTTTGATGAGTTTATCAAAAAGTGTCAAAACCTTGACAAAATGACTGTCAGTGACGTATTTGCAGTCCAACTGATGCAGGTATGAAACTCTTTACCCTCCAAGACAGAAAAATGGCCCTTTTGTGGACAATCATATAATATATGTGTTTTCTCTTCAATTTGATTGGTTTCAGTTTCTTCACTAGATGGGATGCATACTTCATGTTTTAAATAGAAAAGAAGTATGGATGCAATGCAATTTGTCTCTGGCTCAACTTTACCTATTTTTTTTTCATTTTCAACATACCTGAACATGATAATGAAAGTATTGATTTTTCTTTGTTAGCTTATGTGTTGATCAATCACAAATGCAGGTCCCGCAGGTAACAGAGGAGGTTGCTGTTGCTGTACTGGATTTGTATCCAACGCTTTTATCACTTGCTCAAGCATATTCTCATCTTGTGAGTATCTTTTCTAATGACTGTCTGGAACCATTTTAGTAACAAACTTATCATTGATAAAAAGGCCTCTAAGTTTGTTTCTTTTCCCTTAACTGCTTTCATTAAAAATAACAAGGGCAAATCATCATCTTTTCCAGTTATCCTTCAAAATGTTATATTTATTCCTAGTCTTGTTAGGTTTGTAGGACTGTAGGGGCTTCATTTCCAATGAGATTTATGTCATCCCTTTCCTATACTTTAGTCCTCTCCTGGCTTCTGTTGTCCACCCTATTGGTCTTAGCCCCAACTTTGTGAAGGCAACTTGGCTAGAGTTCGATTGTTACTGCATTATGAAGCATGATTTATCCAGCAGTTTCATTAGATAGAGAGGGCAATGTATTTATGTTTTGGCAAGACTCTAGGGGAGGTGGATTTGACAAAGAGTTTATGGTGTATTGTTGGAACTCAGGGGCTCCTGTTGTTTAAAACTTTTCATATTTGATGGTTATGGATGATTCCAACTATTGCTATCCAAAGGTTAAGGAGATAAGGATAGAAGTATGGTGACTAGTATCTTACTCCCCTATTTGAGCTGCTGTTTAAGATCAATTCTGAGGGGAGCAAACTTTACTGTTGATGAGTTGGCAAAATTGGGGATTTTCTGATTAGAGGTATGTAGAAAAGTGTCCTTGCATTGTTATTAACTTTTGTTCTGCCACACTTAATACATTACCTTTCCCTCTCAAAGAAAGAGGTGCCAATAAGATTCAATACTCTCTTGTGCCACCTTTCCAGAAAAATATTGATGTCATATCCTGATGTCAGTGTGTTGCCATAACTCATAAGCTTTTGTTGTTTATTATTTGGGTGGTCATAGTATCATCTAAAAGATCTTAAATTCTTAATTATGTTTTCTTTATCGAGAAGCTTCAGCCTTATATATTGATAATGAACCCATTTGCGACATAGTAGGAATAAGAAAGGTAGCTATGGTTTAGCCATAATGGATACCCCCGGACCTAACTTTTAGGAGATTGTTGGAGAGCAATACGGAAGTTATGATGATTTGTCTTTGTAAAAGCTGTTGTTCTGGTATTCTTTATGGAGAAGCTTCAGCATTTTGTGCAATTTTGTCATTGATCATTAGCCCTTTTTGCAATATAGAGGAAATAGGTAAGGTAGGTAACTTTCAGGTAATTATTGGAGAATAATATGGAAACATTTGATTGATTTGTTTGTTGAAGGATGGTGATGTTAGTGCTCAAGAAGAGATGCTGAGAAAGAAGAGTAACAACCTGATCAATGGACTTGCTAGTAGGAACATCTTCCGACTAGTTTGGGGTGGTTGATGGATTGTACATATTATCGACACAAGAAAGATGACCGTACATGGTGCATTTTGATGGTTAAGAGTAAAATTCCTTTTTGTTTTTGTTTCCTCTACAGTGCATCATGCAAGAAAGAATTCCAAATGATGTAATTTCACTTTGATGTTAAGACATCTGTATATAATTTTAACTTTTGCATTTTAATGTTAATATGTTACTAGTTCTTCCACATCCTGCTTCTATGATTCTATCCCTTGAAATGGGATTTATGCCTTTTGTGAATGGGTTTATGCTTTAACATTCTGCATTTCAAATGTTATCTGGTCACCAAATTTTATCTACCTAAAAAATAGTTTGGTAAGGTGATGCCAATATGCTAATTTAGTTGGATTTGTCGGTTTTCTAGCAATGGCCGAAGCGATAAGATTTTAATTATTATTTTTTACACTTAAAAATTATCACATGATGTCATTTTATTGCGAATTTGAGTTTTTAATTTGGGTCTTGCATTACTTTAACTCGGATTTAGTCCTCACTAAATCGTTCTCACGCCGTGCTCACAGCTGACAAGCAAGCAAGACTTAAGGTTGAGTCCCACGGAGAGAAGAGATCGGATCTTGTCCCAACAACCGGTCCCAACCATAGTTACAACCGTGCATTAGAAACATCTCCCTTGTCGTTTCCCATGTACAGCTGCAGATTCCGGACATCAAAGAAAACACGCGTTCATAACTTCATGTGGCGGCTTCTGCTTTCCGGAAACAGAGAATATTCGAGTTCCATGAGATTGCCCTTTACAACGTTCCACAGCATATTTTCGTCTTGAGAATATTTCCCCATTTTAATCCCAGAAATGATGATATTATCATTGAAAGATGCTCTCAACACACGGCAGAGATGTGCTGTAGGACATTGTGGGGGGCAATCTCGTGGATGGCTGATTTGGGGTATCTACAATCATAAACGAGGATTTTATGATTTTGTAGGTAATTCCTCCTGAAAACAAGGGAAAATTAGAATCAACCATGAGCACTGAGCACTCAAAGTGGCAACTCTAGCTTTCTGAATATTCAATGCTTTGGTTGTTTATTACTAATGTTGTTGTACTTTGTATAAACAACTGAATTATTCACATGGTACAATTTCTTCGCAGAATTTGTGGCATTTAAGAAACACCCTTCGAACTGAAAACCCAAAAGTGGTGGGGGGATGTGCATTCAAAAAGTGGTTCCTAAATATCCCACCATAAAAAGTTGAAGGCATCATTAGAGGAAGGAAAAACTACTGATTATAAAACCAGCAGAACTCTTGAATCTTGAGACTTGAGATGCCCTTTTAGGAAGAAGCCGAATCATCTCCTGAAACCGGCAAAATACAAGCAAGATGAAGCAGGGATGGTTGGGGGTCAGCCTCCACAGACTCATATTGTGTTTGTCTGTCGTTGAGACCTCGTGCTTGAGTCTTTTCCTCATCACTTTGAAGTTGAACAGAAGGAAGTAAATCAGTTGGGAAGAAGTAGAATTGAAAGTTGTCGCGAACTCCTGATCGGAGCTGCTCTACTCTGGGCTTTCCTTCTTGTGTAAGGTTTGGATGGGGAAGAACTTGTTGGCGAGTATGATCTCCCCCGGTTGAGAGTTGAACAGAACTAAGCAAATCAGTGGGGAAGAAGTTGTAGAAAAGGCTGGCCATTGATTCGCAGTTGTAAAGAAAGGAAGCGTAGCTGAGTAACGAGGGAAGGAAAGAAGAATAAGGAACTTGGATGTGTTTAGAGGTGAATATGTCCTAATATCTATACACGTATATATATATAGAAAATAGAAGCAAACCTTCGGACTCCTATCAGGAGTATGGAAACTTTTGGGAAGATTCCGTTTCCATGTGGGGAAACAATTCTAACTAAATAGAAAGTTTATTATTTGTCACTTTCCTTATGGGAAGATTTCTTGTCACGTTTGGACATTAGTTCTGAGAAATATATGTGTGGGCCTTGCTTTTAGCGGCTCAGAAAACTCGGAATAATTTACATTTTTATTGATCCGTTAATTTGAAGCTTGTAGGGAACTGGGGATTGTCTTGGACTCTTGGATATGGGGCCTTGGTTTCTGCCTCAGATCACTCAGACCCATATAGCTTTAAGCTTGGGCCCCCCATAACATATAAAAAAGTATAAGAATTATAGTTTCAATTATTTTATTTTATTTTGATTTATATATCTAAGTCAAAGACAAATTTCATTCCACTAGAATGCTTAGAGTACAATTCTTTAGCTAGAGCAAAAACTTGCCTTATTTGAAATGGTAGGATTATTCCTTGTGGAATAACTTTAATTAATTAATTCCTACAATCTAAAGCTAATTTTAAGTAATAATAGGGTTAAAATATTGAAGATTTTCTTGGATAATTTTTAAGTAATATATTGTGTATAAATGAAATAAATACGTTGATTGATGGTAAGTTATGGTCGAACTCTTGTTAAAATTATTCCACTGTACAGCTTGTTGGGACCCAGCTAATGGTGGGCTTCAATCTTTTTCATTCAAACACGTGTTAGATAGGGAGGGCCCCTCATTGCTGTCTGAATTTTGGATTTGTTGAGATCAGTGTTTGGTACCACATGACAAGACGCTACTCACACCTACCTAAAAGACACCCATACCTACCTAATGACTACAGCGACACATCTCAAACTTGTGTGTAAGTGTCTTGTCATTGATGGAGTTCATATCTCGTCCCTACAATAGATCCGAACACCCGTTGCAGCTGTGCATTGAGAGGAGTTCAAATCAGCCACCTGCAAGACTGCCCCCAGTCCTCAAAACGTTTCACAACACATCTCTTCCGTCTATTGGAAACATTGGAACATCTCCTTGATGATGATATCCGGAATGATAATGTTATCATGGGAAGATGTTACCGATGCACATCGAGATGTGTGGGGGTCTGATTGGTTGTTGGAACGAAATCTGGACTCTGATTGATGGGATTGTACATAAAGTCGTTTGGCCATAACTAATTGTGAGTAGCAGTCTGGGTAGCATCTTTGGGTAGTATATCAAGACCCCTCACAAAGGTTGTTGGTTTTTATAAAGTTTTCCAGAAATACGGGCCCATTAAGTCCTGCACATTTGGCTTACAAATAAATTTTTTGAAAGCTTCATTTTTGTTGCTTTTGCTTTTGAAAACAGACGATATTTAAAGTGTCGACATTACATATAGGCTTGTTTTTGTCTTAAGAGTGGTTTTTTATTCAATTAATGTTGTGATCTTCAGAGGGATAGTTAACTGGAAAGCGATTTGGGCATTTACAGATTACAAGGACCAGATGGTTTTGATAGTATTAATTAGTATTAAGCCCTAATTTTTAGTAATATGTATCCCTTATAGAATAGAAGCTTGTGGGCAAGTTCCTTGTATTGTATGACAAGTGATGTTCATACTAAATAAAAAAAAAAAAATAGAGATTCAGGTTTTCTTGTTTAAACAAATATTTTTTACCTTTTTTTAATTGCATTTTCGGTATGATTTTTCATATATAGTCATGGTTTTGTAGGAAATCATATAAAAAATTTGAATATTAATCAGTCAAATTTAGGTGTCCACCTATGTCCAATTCAAATTAAGCTGGAATTTTGTTACTAGAACTAAGAACCAACCATGCTAGTGAATACCCTTCTGAAATGGCAAGATCAAGGGTTGAAATATCGATATATCCGATATTTAAATATGAGTATTGATGTATATTCAAATGGCTGATGCATCCTCGTTTTCGTCTTTTTTGGGTTTTTTGTTTTATAATATATAAGGGGTTGGAGAAGATGACTGAGACCTTTTAAATATTTAAAAAAATTTGTATGTTAATGTATCCAAGTATATCTGCGTATCAATATCATTATAATACACCTCATATTGATATTTTAATCCTCAGAAAAGACCCGATTTCTGAATATTCATTCTTGGTTTGTTTATTTATTTATTTATTTCTAAAATTCCAATGAAGGAGCTTGTTGTGCATGGCACTTATCCCTACTTAGTTCCTTCTTTGCTTTTTTTGGCTAAATATTGGTTAAAACCAGATGGAAAATCATAAATTGTTGGATTCTAACATTCAAGTATATGATTTATATATAGCAACATATACTAAACGGGAATTTACTAAATTTTAGTGAATGATTTGAACTTTTCGTTAGAACACAAAATTCAAAACTTATCACTGTTTTATCCGATTCATCTGGCCTGGTTAGGCTTTCTCTACAACTAGTTATATAAAATCAATAGATTATTTAACCGCTAAGCATAGCACTAGTCACTAGCTAGCTTCTGAGTCGAGGCCAAAATAAAATATATACTTGTACGCTCTCAATTTGTACTGGCACAAAGTATACACCTCTAACACACTGATAAAACCAATTCATTGTGTACTCTGAAAAATCAGAGAAACAAAAGTAAACTAGAAGACAGATTAAGTATAGAGCCAACACAGAACTCTTAAATCCTGATGAGATACACATCAATTCAATTCTAGGAAGAAGCGGAATCGTCTCCTGAAATCGGCAAAACACAAGAAAGATGAAGCAGGGATAGTTGGGGATTGGTCTGCACAGGCGCAGACTGATATTGCGTTTGTATATCATTGACACCTCGTGCTTTTTGAGTCTTGTCCTCATCACCTTGAAGTTTAAGAGAAGGAAGTAAATCGGTTGGAAAGAAGTAGAACTGAAAGTTGTCGCGGACTCCTGATCGGAGCTGCTCTACTTTGGGTTTTCCTTCTTGTGTAAGGTTTGCATGGGAAAGAAATTGTGGGCAAGTGGTCTGGTCGCCACCGGTTGGGAGTTGAACAGAATGAAGCAAATCAGTGGGGAAGAAGTTGTAGAGAAGGTTGGCCATTGATTAATTCGAAGTTGTTGTAAATAAAGGAAGCGTTGCAGATTAGCGATGGAAGGGAAGGAGAAGACGAGAAACTTTGACTGTGTTTAGAGATGAAGTTGCCCTAATGTCTGCTCACATATATATAGAAACAGATGGCTATGGCGTGGGCTGAAAGATTAGCTTTCCGATTCCTGCGAGGAATATAGAAGCTTTTGGGAAAGTTCCAAGTAGAAAAACAATTCTAACTGCATAGAAAGTTTATTACATGTCGCAATTTTCTGGCGGATTTCTTGTCGTGTTTAAACATTAATTCCAGCTAGTTTTTAGAGAAATATCTGTGTGGGCCTTGTTTTTAGCGGTGGATAAAATTCGGAATACTTAATTTACATTTATTTTGATCCGTTTAATTTGAGCTTGTGGGGAATGTGACTCTTGAGTCTGCAGGGGCCTAGGCTTCAGCCTCACGACCCATAGCTTTCATCAGTTGGGCCCCCATAACTGATTCGGGTTCTACTGCCAATAAAAATTCCTTTGATCAACACGTTCTAACATGATCCGTATGGACCGTATCCGCTCACCACATGCATAATGGGTCTTAGTTTTACTTTTGTATCATGCATGTTGGTTCTATTGGGAGGAAATTTTGTTGGCTCCATTAGCATACCAGTGATAAAATCTGCTACTCACACCTACCCACAAGGCGTTATAACCGCACATCTCAAAGTTGTATGTTGTCATTGATCATGGGGTAGATTTGAGCAGCAGATGGGCAGATGGAGACTTCTCGGCAAATGTGGTTGTTTTTTAGAAGACAGGTTTGCAGAAACTCAGGCCCGCACATAACATTGGTATAAAAACAATAAAGTTTCAAGTGAGTGGCAACAAAGACAACGAATTTTCTATTTTAGAAATCTTCATTTGGTTGCTTTTACTTTTGAAAACAAAGCGATATTTAGAGTGTTTATATTTGGGAAAATGATTGATCAGCCCAGTTCAGAATTCTTAGCCCCACGGTAAGAGGGTTAATCCTGACCATGGATCGATACTAAATTCACATGCAAGATGTGATTTATAGGGGCCTACTAGTAGACTAGTTATGGGGGACTGTAATTTCAGAATTCTGAATTGGGCTGCAGTGTACAATTAATTACATATAAAAGTTTTTTTATTTTAGGGTGTTTCTTGATTCAATTGTTGTTGTGAGACTTGGATTAGAGATGATGCATCCCAAGGTTCTGATAACTGCGATGAGACAAGACCTGACAGCGATGAGCATAGAAATAAACTTGTTCACCAGGACTCCTATAAAGGCCAGACCACATCATTGCACTCAACAAGCGCCAACGTTCAACTCATCGTATTTGCTTGCCAACTGCCATAGTTCTGTAGTTATTTCTTAGTACTACATGATGGATGTAGAAGATTGGTACAAAGAGATGCCAACAAGGCTAAGTAAAGATTAGAGATACATTCTCAGGAAGAACAAAATAAAGAGATGGATTTAGGAGAATTGAAAGAACTTCTACAACCAAAGCAAGGTGACTTAACATCACCAACAGAAGTGGATAAATACATTTCCAAACCACCTTAACTGGCGAGCAAACTGACAAGAGAAGTTACCAACTAAAATGAAAACTGACAGAGGATGTTACATAGCCAGAAGCCATGAATTGTAACTTCCAACTACTCCAAAAAAACCGCAAAAGACAACATCATCTGTAACTTCTATCCAGCACACCGAAGAACTGCCGACTGCGAGCTTCCATCCAATGAATGTTGGAGAACTGTAACGTCCATCCACAATGCCGAAGAACTATAACGTCCATTCACAATGCTGGAAAACTGTAACTATCAACTGAAAAGCCAGAGAACTGAAACTGCCAACCAGGACGTCGGAGCACTATCACAGCCATTTAGGACACTGGAGAATTGAAACTACCGTCCAAAACGCTGGAGACGACAAAATAAGTGAGGCAAATCCACCAGTGATTTTTGTAGAAAGGAGACTAGAGTAGGAACTCCATATCAAAATAACCATAGAAAAAAAACAAACAAAAAACAACACAGAAGAGGGAAGAAACAGAAGAAACAAGGAGAAACAGAGGAACAAACGAACAGATGGAACACAGAAAAAAAAAACAGAGGAAAAAAAGATGGAACACAGAAAAACAGATGGAGCACAGAAATAACTGAAAAGAAAAGGGAAAATAGAGAATAATAGAGAAAAAACAGACCGAAAAAACAGAGAAGCACAGAATATTCATTAAATAACTTGGACGCAAAAACCTTAGTGGGTCAGTAGTTTAATATTAGTACATAATATATAGTATAATGTATTACTATTATATAATATAGTAATATAACAATATTATTAAGATTATATTATATAAAAAGTTGCAGGAGATATAACATGGGAGGCATTTTTTAAATTTGTGTAGGGTTAAAAAATTAAAGAAGAAAATAGTTCCAAGTGCATTAGGAGCAATTTTAGGGACCTATACCAATCCAAATGTTTTTAATATTGTGTGCGAAAGCAATTGAAAAAAGGCTTTTAGGTCCTTTTTAAATTGCAGGTATAATCGATTTGTATGATGGACGTATGCTGAATCCACACCTCCTTGTTATTTTAAAATATTTTGACTGTTCAGTAAGGTGGCTTCAACATCGACCATGAAAAATTATGAAATGTTCTCTCCAAGCAAAGCAATTTGCCCGACATTAAGAAAGAGGTGTATCCGGTGCTACCAAATGATTCCTAAGTCTGACAATATTGGAATCCACCATTCTAATTAAACACCTCCTAAACTGACAATGACAAGATTCAATTTATATACGAAGCTCTCAATTGTACTTTTGTCAAAATTTGAATGGATCCCGCCCGAATTCCAAAAGAAGGTAAACCCAAAACAATGTAAAATGCTAAATGGGACCAACCCAGCACAGCACCCCTACCAGGCTAGGCCTGGCTGAAAACCCCATTCAAGCTCACAGATGGCTTTTAAAGTTCCACGTACGTGACACCATCTAACTTCAATTTTTCATTAAAAGGGGACAATGAAAGCACATACACACCAAGATATCATGTATTGTGACAATGTTTCATAATTTCCATAGAAATCATGCAATTTCGTGAAAATTATTTTCCATTGCAAGATTTCCAATTTCTCTCGTGCCCAGAATGCTGGTTTCATCTTTGTATAGACTTGTAGAAAGAAAATTAGAAGCTGTGTTTGGTAGCGATGCAAATCCCGGCCCGTATCCGTGCTATATTATATTCCACCCAATAAACTTTTGTAAATGGTTGAAAGAAATGTAAATAAAATTGTCAATTGATGTAAAATTGTAAACATGTCAATTTTTACATGGAGAAAATCGATGAAAAATTTACATAGATTTTTTCAATAATAAATATTTTTCTCTTTTCCATAAAAAATCCATATCTTTCAATGTTTCTACCCCATTCAACGGTAGGAATCATCATTTTTACCGCAAATATGTATTTAGTTAATTACATCTCTACTTTCTCTGATTAAAGAACGTGGAACACACATCGTGGATGATGTTTGGCACAAGGTTTAAAATTTTGATAAGAACGTTCGATACGGAGTGTATCATATCTTATCTTTTAAAAATAGATACTGGATATGTATGGAAATTGTGTGTATCATTTTTTTTCATATGTACCGGACTCATATCGGAGGCGTATCAGGACGTATCGGTAGTGTATCAACGAAAAAGATACAACCAAAAACTGAAAAAAAAATAAAGGGGAAAAATAAGATTCTTTTACACCCAAATGACTCTAAGACTCTAAACTTTATTCCTAGAGTGCTAGATTTGCAAAATTTTGCAAGAAACAAGTGTGGATCATTATTTTTTTGAAGATTTTTCAAATTTTGAAAAAATAGGTAATTTTTTTTCAATTTTTAATAATATCTTATGATTTCTTTTTTCTTGAATGTATAAATTTATGTTGATCTACATTTCTTACATCCAAAATCCCATTTTTTTGTTATTTGTAGATTTATGGAAATTTCATGAGATATGGGAAAATATAAATTAACAAAAAATTTGAAAATATAATTTTTTCTCTACGTATAAAGACTAAATATGTTTTAAATCTATAGATTTATTTATCATATCCATAGAGCAATTGAAATTTCTTATTTAATAAATATTTTTTGAATATATTATGTAATGTTTATTTATTTATTTATATTTTTTGAAAATAAATAATAAATAATGATTATTTAAATAATAAATAATTATTAAATATATTTTCACTTAGAAATTGTGTTAATGCATATTTTATGGTTGGATAAGAGAGTTGGTTTTTTCCCATCCCATTAAACATTAAAACTTAAGAATTATAATTTATAAATTATAGTTAAGTATATGATTTTTAATGAAATTATAATTAACTACAATATATTTCTTCCTAAAACCATTAAAATATATTAATTTAATGTATATACGCCTCATTTAAGTCTTATATTTAGTGTTGTTATGTATTTTTATGATTTATTAAAATATTTATAGTGTTTCAAAGTGTATGTATGCATATTTTAATTTTTTTTCTGATAAGCATGCATATCAAGCATATCTCAATATGTATCTTAAAATTGCATTTCTTATACACTTGATGTTTCCGATACTTTAAACCTTGATTTGGCATCGAAAGTTATTCCTCTTTGCTGATTATTCAAAATTGGTAACCAAAAATTGTTGGTTGGTATCATTGATGTCAAGTTGATTTCTGAAAAATCAATTTTAAATCTGTTTGATACTAATTTTCAAGCGCCGATTATTTTTATATTAAAGTTATCATTCAATGCCACGTTGAATGTCATATCATCCTCAAAAAGTCGGAATTAATTAGAGTTTATAAGAAATCACAAAAAAATGATATCCCTAAAAGGGATGGTTTTAATAATCAATTTTTAGCTAATTTCCTGAAAATTGCCAAAAATCAGTCCAGCAAACAGAAATTTCAACGCAGATTCCTGGCTCCAACATGACAGTAATTTTCAACAAATCATCATATGCCAAATATCACCCAATATACCAGAATTCTTTTCCTTTTCAATTTTTTGGTAAAGTAGCTTTATGCCCCCACGTGATGTACGTGCACGTGAAGACTATTGGCACTCACAGCTTTTGGGAAGGGCGAAGGGATGCTAACTAACCACCTACCCCAGACACGGTCGTTGGTGGGTGGGGGGAGGGCGTAGTGCGTTAGCTGGGTGGATGCAATGAAATTCTTTTCTCTACCTCCATCGCCATCTCTGTTACAAATTGATACATCATAACATAAACGATTAAAATCCATGAATTACTACTGGGTTGAATTTGCATAAACTAAACAAGATACAATATATAGAGCTTGATTTGAATTATCATTAATTAGAGCACTGGTGTTTTCCGATACATTTCCATCTCTGCTATTGCAGCACTGCTCTTAAACAAATACAGTCTAATATATATTGGATCGCAACGATGTTAGGGTAATCACTGTTTGATATAAGCTCGATCGCTCTGCTTAATCCTCCAATTATCCGATTCACTTCACTCCACTAGCTCCTGAAAACACAAGCCCAAAACAACTTCAAAAACAACACTTTTGCTAGCTCTCTGTTTGATCGCTCTGTGAACATAAAGTTTCTATGATTACATCTGTATCGCTTTATACTGCGAAATCAGAAACACAATAATATATATATATACCGATTGTGAAACCAGCAGAAACTCTTAAATCTTGAGATACCCATTCAGGCAGAAGGTGAATCACAGCCTGAATCTGGAAAAGTAGTAGATAGATGAAGCAGGGATAGCTGGGGATCGGCCTGCACAATCTCATCTTGCGTTGGTACTCTGTCCTTGATGCCTCGTTTTTCATTCTTGTCCCCATCAGTTGAAAACTGAACAGAAGGAAGCAAATCAGCGGGGAAGAAGTTGCATTGAAGGTTGTCACGGACTCTTGATCGGAGCTGTTCTACTTTGGGTTTTCCTTCTCTTGTGCGGGCTTCATGGGGAAGAACTGGTTGCCGAGTCTTGTCTCCACCGGCTGCAAATTGAGCAGAGTTAAGTAAATCAGTGGGGAAGAAGTTGTAGGGAAAGCTGGCCATTGATTCCCAGCTGTGAAGAAAGAAAGTTTATGGAGATGATCTGAGGAAAGAGGAAGACAAGGAGCTAATTTATATAGAAACAGATGGGTATTGAGTGGCCTCCAAGCTCATTTTTATTTTTTCATTTATTTGTTTATTATTTATTTTTTAGGGAAGAATACATGTGGAGAGACAAAGATAAATATATATATATATATATACATATTTTTATACTTGCACGTTTGGTAGAATTCTTTATATTTCACGTTTGGACATCTTAGATTGGAAAAATATCTGGTGGGCCTTGTTTAATTTTTGTGGCTGAAAAATTTTCAGAGCATCACTTACAACTGCCTAGGGAATCTTTTTCTTCTCTTATAATCCGTTAATATTGAATCTTGTGGGGAATGTCTTGACTATTGTGTATGGGCTATAGCCTACCCAGCTTATAGGAACCCTATTTGCATTTTGGGCCCCCATAACAGATGTCTACTCACAACACATTATCTCAGTGTATTGGAAACATCTTTACATGCATGATATTATATAAGTGGATGAGATGTTTTGCATGTATAGGTGCGATGGTATATGAATAGAGTAGGCAGAGTTATTGTGGGTAGAAGATCTGAACTCCCCATAACATATCAATAATATTATTATTTTTAATTTCTAATATTTTATTTGAAAAAGCAGAAGTGTTATTGTACCATTGTGTATAATATGAAAATTCTGATCAGAAAGACAAAAGAAATCAACATATTTTATATTGCAACTATATGTAGTTAAAACATTAAATTCAACCGGTGAGTTATGTCATTTAAAGAAGTATTTAGTTGATGACCCATTTGTCAAGATGGTCATTTCCCACCCTTTATATAAGAGCGTGAGATCAAACATTCAAACTCATGGAATCGCAGGCTCCCCATGGTATGGTCAATGTGCCTCATGAGAGCTGTTGTGCCACACCCCCAATTCCACAATAATGTGTATTATATAATACCAAAAGAAGAAAAAAACAAGATAGTGTAAGAATCATCTTTCAATATCTAAATGTTTTTTTTTTTTCTTCTTCTTACCTTTTATTTTTAATTGAACAATAATGGATATAAAAGGAATATTCAGGGCCTAGAATCTTAATTAGGATGCCTAAACCCAATCTAAATTTTTAACCTTTGTATCTATCCTATCTAGTGCTTCACTATCAATATATAAATAATCTCCATGTATCTATGTTATATAAGGATATTCTAAGAAAACGCTCCTAGTTTGAAAACTCTATTATTCTGTTCTAAAAGATGAGAAATGAATTAGGAAAAATTTCAAATTCCTCCACCACATAAAGTTTCGTCTATATATAAAATTCGGAACAATGACAGGTAGGGGTATATGATAGTGGGGGGTTTTAGAAAATAAAACCAGAAAACAAATAAGTATTTATAAAATGGGACAAGTGATGATCGTCCAATAAAAAAATTTATAGCTGTTTTAACTTCTACCGTTTAAAGCGAAACAAGTATTTGCAACACAAGGCAGCTTTATGTATACGAAATGAAGGACATTGCCTACATAAAAGAGACCATTACCCAATTCTGGTCCTGGACAATCCAGTTAGTATGGATGGCATACAGACCTAATTTTTCGCCTTTAAACATAAAGTTGGCATGCACCGAATCTGCATTTTCATGCTTGTTAGCCTGAGATTACACCTGTTCATGGGCTGGCCTTAGGCTTAACTTTTGCCACAATTTGAATGGATCTAGCCTGAAGCCCAAGTCTAAAACAGTGTAAATCTGGACCCAAAGGCTGGCCCATGAACAGGTCTATCTGAGATAGAGTTAGGATACCAAAATGATTAATGGATCTAGCCTGAAGCCCAAGTCTAAAACAGTGTAAATCTGAGCCCAAAGGCTGGCCCATGAACAGGTCTACCTGAGATAGAGTTAGGATACCAAAGTGATCCTGTAGTTATTATAAACTGCTTCTAATTAGGCAATTATACGATGAGATTAATTTCATATTTATAATTAAGGGGGTATTTGTCAATATGTACAAGTTTGTTTTTAAGAAAACAATCAATTGCCACATCAGTAAAAATAAATTGTTTTTGATGATGTGGTATTTTTTTTTTAAATTTTGATACAAAGTTGTATATATTAGCAAACACCTCAAAAATTATGTTGTGAATATGTACAAGTTGTACCTAAAGTAAACATTCTCCATTTTCCTTGTATGGTGGTGTCAATTCAACTGGCTTGTACAATCCTTCCTTAATCTAGATCTCAATGTCACAACAAACACAATTTTTTCTTTGTTTTCTTCTTGGCAGTAGCTTTCTTGGTAGAAGATGAAAAAGAATATAAATAGTGAAGAATTACAAATCTTGGCTGTTTCATTGTGTCTTACTCATGGGCTATAAACTGTTATAACTTTTCTCGGATTTGATTTCAATTATGTATAATATTACATGGTCCGCACTAATTATTAAACAAAACTATTGTTTATTGGAATGCCTGAGTTCAACACATACATACATACATATTAAATCTTTTCGTAAGGGAAAGGACGAATGACTAAAATATAGTCCTTTTCTGTTTGCTTGCCTATGAAAATTGGTTTACCACATTTGGATGTTATATATTGCATATTACATGAGGGATTATGGGAAGGAAACAGAGCAGAGTGCAGGTCCATTTACTTTTCATGGAGAGCCTGCAGTTACTTGGGTTTGATCCCGCGCCTCTAAGGACATAGATTTGGAATAAAGAACCAGAACTTGCCCTGGCCCTTGAGAAATTTCTATCTTTTTACATTTCCTTTGGCAAAAGAGAGTTCGAAATTAAGGTGAACCGAGGGATGGAAGAAATTCCTTGAATTCTCAAGAAAAAAAATGGAAAAAAAAAACCCGTTAGAGAGGAATCTCAACAAGTATTATGATGGTATTATGATGCAGTACGAGATCTGGCTTTGTTTATTGTCTTTAATGTTTTTTCTGAATGTGATTTATTTTCTAAATTGCGCCGGTTTAGAAATACAAACCATCTAATTTATGGAATTTTGATGCACAAATGATTAAAGGTTATGAGCTATCAAAAATGGTTAGAGGCCATCTTAATTTACGGTCAACTATTCCCTTAAATCCTGTTTGCATGGCAACACATACACTTCTTCCATATTGCCGGTTTGCTTTAATCAGATATGCAATGGCAAGAAACGCTGTGGCCTGTGGTTGCTTTCCCATAGCAATTCTTGTTAAAATGGAATTTTCAATTTGGGGAGCTTTAATCGGGTGTGGAAGCCCCTGCATTTAATTAGTATATGTTTGGCATTAATGCTTTAGATATAAACAAAACGGTGCTGTTGATGTATGGGTTGAAAGTAGAAAATGGTGTTTTTTTTTTTTGTTTGAAAATGTTGCTATTACCTAAAACGTTTTCTGGAACAATAATATCACATTTTATTTAATACCAATGCTCCATATCTGTTTTCAGCACTGATACTCATTATAAGAAATTCAAGTCATTACTACATTATGTCCTTGTTGGTTAGTAATGAGTTCTAATCTGAGAAAATGTCTAGCTCGGCATTGCTTCAAACCATGCCTTCTCAATTTTTAAGGCGTGGCTTGAAACACCATTTTTATGAAAAAACAGTTCTAAACATATTTAACGTTTTTTGAAATATCATTTTTTTCCATGTGTTGATGTATCACCATTTTCTGGAGCAATGGCAGGGATGTCAACACAACAAATAGACGGAAAAGTGAGTAGATGGAGTCCACGCTTCTTAAAATTCTCAAAAATCGGCTACTCTGGAAGGAGCAGTGGCTAAAACCGTTAATCAACGGCCCTTGATGTATTCATGTGGCCCACCTCATTTTCTCTCGTTTTAAATTGCAAGTCAATCACCGATGGAGTCAGGAAAACCCAGAATCCGTCCATCCTCTCTGAGACCCTGATCTCTCTCTGTGCCTGGCGAGACCACGATGACCAACATTCTTGTTCTCTACCTGGAAATACTGTTGGTTCTTCTGGCCCTATCCATGCCAACACTGGGTGGTGAGTTCTTATCTCCGATTTTCATATCCTCCCATGATCGATCTCATCTATTATTTCTTCTTATTAATCCTTTTTCATGCTATGTAAATGCAGTATTTCTAAGCATAGATTGTGGCTCCTCGGACTCATTCACCGACGCAAACAATATCACATGGGTAGGAGATGATCTCTACATTAAAAGCGGTAAAAGCGAAACTGTTACAAGTGTAAATAATTCATCAATTATTGCTCGTCCATACACAACTCGGAGAGTATTCCCCACCACGAAGAAGAATTGCTACTCCATAGGCGTGGGGAGGGGAGAACATGTTCTTCTCCGTGCACATTTCTACTATGTGACTAACAAGGATGAAAAATTGTCTGCACCGGTTTTTGATCTTCAGTTCGATGGCAACCCTTGGGCTATAGTGGAAAATATCAGTGCAGATCCATTTTATAAAGAAGTGATATATCTAACCAAGTTTGATGCCATAAGCGTGTGTGTTGCTCGGAATCAGGACTATCCTGACGACGTACCATTTATTTCTGCAATAGAAGTGAGGAGCTTGGATTTGGGCTTGTATGCTGGAGTTGATCCAAATTATCCATTGTTGGGGATACGGAGAATAAACTATGGCGGAAATGAAAGCGTGAGGTGAGGTGCTACGTACTAACTCCACTCCATATATCTTCCAAATTCTTTCTCTGTGTTTAGACTTCAGACTTCAGATTGGTTTGATTTGGGGGCTGGGGAAGGGAGTGGAAACCGTTTCCATGGATTCCAGAATGACTGCTATGAATCAGCAGATGTTCTGAATTAGTCAAGGCTTCAGTCCTTTTATATCATATTAGTCCTTTACGCAGCCGTTTCAATATTTTACTCTTGACTCTTGAGGGCTGAATTTGTTAGCACACTTACTCCAAAGGGTAAATGTTAGAGGTGTTTTTCGGGTTGGGTCGGGTGGAGTTGATAAGCGGGTTAGATTTTGTCATCCCAAATTCACTTCGGAACCCAAAACCAACGCTATTACATTGTTGCTATGGTTCATATGTATGTATTACAGTTAGGGGGTGCAACTTGAGCTTCTGTTTTTTGTCCATTGGATCTGGGCAATAAACCCCAAGTTCTTTTATTTTGTGCTGGGCCTGGGCTTGCCCTTGGGTATTCCGACCTTAGTTTGACCTCAGCCTAGTCCAAACACGATTCCACTCCACTAAATACGTAGAAAAAATATATAATTTCTTATTTAATATTTTAAATTATTAGTCTTTTTTTATATTGAGCCTATTAACTAGGCCCACCTGAACTTTACTGATCAACCCAAACCTGATATGGCCCGAGTACAAATCAGAGTGTGTCAAACTTTAGCTCGAGTTGGGTTTAGATTAACCAGAGCAAACTTGAACTCGGGCTTCGGCCCTAAGCACAAACATTATGGTTGGATCTTGCCATGTTTTTGGGTCGACCTTAAACATGGCCTAACGCATCAAGTTATGCCCAAGATTCAAAATATCGATACATCTGATATATTGATTTTTTTACCTTTTTTCTTTATTTTTCTTAAAATCGGTTTAGGGGGCGAGTTTAAGACTCCTCCGTCCCCCTGAATTGTTCAAAACCCCGATACACTCCCTATAGGGTCATATAGGGGATTTCCCGAAATGATATGTATCAGGGAGCTCTTGAAATAATCAATAATTTAAACCTTGGTTATACCTCCAATCACATCCTTTACTGATCAGTCCAACTCAGAATTCTTTAGCGCTACGTACAGGGATGAATCCTAACTGTGAATTGATGTCAAATCCATCCATGGGCATAATGCAGTTTTTAAGGGGGCTAGTACTTTTTCCATTAAAAATTGCTAAGGTGCAAAAATTCTAAGTAGCCCTTCCATGTCTCTGTTGATTTTGCTTTTGTAGGTTCCCTGACGACAAATATGATCGTATTTGGCAAGAACTTCCAAGTTCCAAAGATTTTATTACTGTAAAGAATGACACCAGAATTGTGGTTGCAGACCTTCCAGATAAGCCTCCAGAATCTGTGTTACAGACAGCACTTTATAACCAAAACTTGTCTGGTTCTCTTCTTTGCATTAAGTTCCCTAATTTGACAAACGATAAGATCTACACTATTTTCTATTTCTCCGAACTGTTGAACCTCACTTCCTCGGACAAGCGTTCCTTTTCCATTTACGTGAACAGAAAATATATTTCCCATCCCATAATCCCACCATATAAAACTGCTTTGGGACTCAACTTCACTACAGATATATCTGCATTTGGGGACGGAAATTACCAGTACTGTCTGAACCGCACATCAGACTCCACACTCCCCCCAATAATCAATGCGTTGGAAGCGTTTCAAATCGGAATCCCACTAACAGACGGAACAGACAATAGACATGGTGAGTGAACATTCCATTAAAATGTTCTTATATTTCTTAAACTAAAGATTTATAGATAAAAGTTCATTGATTCAGCATTATTGTATGTATACGGACAAAGCCATGATACTGAAGTTAGTTGATTTGCAGGAATTGTGAATTAATTAATTTGGGTTTACTTTTGTATACCAGTAAAAGCGCTATCTACACTACAAAAAGCTTTTGTTCAACTTCAAGATTGGAGCGGTGACCCCTGTCTTCCAAACGGATCCCCCTGGGATTGGGTTGAATGCACTTATACCCAGACACCTCAAATAACGGCATTGTAATTCTTGTTTCCTCAAATTTCTTTTCATTATTTTAATGTGTTTGGTCTGGAAACAATAATTTTATTGTTTAGGTTATCACCATGGGCCATTCATTCTGGTTCATCATCTATCTATCATCATTCATCGTTTATTTCTTTTTATATATTTAAGTATCTTCACTATCGAAGGTAAAAATAATTTATTCATTATCATATGAGCAACTCATAGACGTCTCAGTGGCTACGAACTACAAGGATCTCTGCCAGATTTTAGCGCTTTGGATACTCTCCAACTAATGTAAGTAACTAAATTGGAAAGAAAGAACTGTGTAAAAGCAAACAAGTGGAGAGTTTACTGGTTTGTTGTTTGGTTTATATGTTCTGCTTATGGTTCGCAGAGATTTGAGTAACAACAGTTTAAGTGGAGAAATTCCTAGTTTCCTGGGAAACTTTCATAAGCTGAACATGCTGTAAGTATTTCCTTCTGAGGATCATCACTTTTCCTATTTCTTTGCAACTTTGTATTTCTTATTTCTTTTATTGGCTGTTTTTTTTATTCTCTTCTTTGCTGCAGAAATTTGGCAAATAACAGCTTTAGTGGATTAATACCCTCCTCACTCACCAACAATAGCAACTTGACATTGGTGTAAGTTAATCCAGTGCCCTAGCTTGTTTTTCTTGCCTTTGTTGTTGCCAGCAGCAACAATTAATTACATTGAGATAACACCATCAACTTAGATTTCTCCTTTTGTTTTCATGTTGTAGTTATTCAGGTAACCCGTATTTATGTGCTTCCACTCAGTTGCCTTGTGTTAATTCTGGTAATGGAAGTTCAGCTTTGTCGCCCTTTTCCAACAGCCACAGCCAGAGCAGGATTAGTAAAAATTTTCTAATCGTCTATGAGATTGTAATTCTAGTGCTCGTTTTTGTTTGTTATTGAAATTCATGTAGAATTTTATATAATGTCAGGTGGATTAATGTTGATTACCTTACTAAAATCTTGGGATAGTAAGTGGGAGGGGACTTCATGCTCCCAAACTTTGCTTAGTTACTGATTGACATGCTTATTAGAAATTAGAATGTCAACATGTCTATTTGTATCTCCGTGTGTTATTTTCTTCATAGGGTACAAAATTACATTGCAAATACATACAAAATAATTTAAAATACTACTTCCAAACTGAACCTAAATATAAATATAAATAAAAAAAAGAAAAAATAACCCCCTCTAACCGTAAGTTGTAACAGAGCTTTGCCGGGCATCAGCCGATTCTCAGTGAATCGAGATTTAAGGGCGTGGCCACACAGATCAAACACCTCGGATATATGGAATTGGTGCATACGATTATTTATCAGAGACCCAATTCATGAAGCAACGGGATGCCTTGCAAGTAAAAATTCTGTACACTCTGAAATCACTGGCATCTAGTTTCACATTAGAAACATCTGCCATTCTCTCCATGAATTTAAAATACATGTATAGGAGATATTGGCAATGTATGGCTGAATGTGTGTAGAGTTTTTCTTCATGAGATCTAGGCTCATCCATCAAGTGTATTTGGATATAGGCAGGGTTTGGTAGAGAGAAAGGGGTATGATAAAATATTATATTCACAAATTTCAAGACTGCAATCATTTTTTTTAATCAACTTTGAGTGCAAAGTTTGTTTCCATTTTTAATACAAATAAATCTGATTATTGGGGAGACTTTTGGATGGAGGTGCCCCCTGCGGATCCTCTTCCTTCCTTTGCTTCGATGGTTTGATCTTCCATCATCACACTCACACCTCTAATATCGGCAACAATTGATTTGGATATGAAGACTTCTTCCCTTAAGCAGGGAGAGGGACATACAACAATCTGTGGATCTCCTACGTCGTGCCCTAGTGGCTAAATGTTCTTATGACAGACCACCATTGATATAGATCTGAAGAATTTTCTAATTGGTACATTAAGTCATGGTTTTGAAAATTAGACCAGATCGGAAAACCTGGGAATTGGTCAGATGATTGATTTCATTTCATCCTAAGACCGTTTTTTGGTTAAAAATAGTTAATTTGGTTAGTAACCTGCTGACCCGAACAATAGTTTCAGCCTTTTTATTTTATTTTGGTTTTTTAAGTCAAATGGGCTGTCCATTCAAACTAAACGGCCAGTCCGTTCAACCCAGGAATTGGTCCCAAAATGATTTTATGTCTGATCCAATTTTTAAAACCTTGATTCAAATTAAGGAAGAATTTTGTTATTACTTTGATTGGCCTCGAGCATATGCTAAAAGAGAGCTCTCCTGATGTGGATAATGATGTTTTAATATATACTAAAAGGTTACCCATAGGTCCATGGGGCAACTCAAACAGAAATAGAAAGCACTCACTAGCTTGGACAAAGTTTTGTCTGCCTAAAGCTCAAGTTCAGAAAGAGCTTCCAAATGAACAAAGCACTTTTTAGTAAATAGATATGGAGGTTACTACAAAACCCCAATAGCCTTTGGAGTCAGGCCATCAAGGGAAAATATTTCCAAGACACAAGTCTACTCGGATCTAGAGTCAAGCAAAGTAGTTCCTTTTGGTGGAAACAAGCTCAAAAAATCATTCTGGGGTTAAAGAAACATATGCTCTGTTGGTTAAGGATGGTTTGAATATCGAGGCATTTAATGACCCATGGGTTCTGATAAGAGGTGATTTGGCTCGACCTAATGAATAAAAGACACATGGATGCAACCTTCTAATCAAGCTATGACTTCACACCTCTCACCACCTGGGTAGACCGGGCCACTTCGGGCACCTCAGTCACCTCAGGCAGAACCAGAGCCAGGGGACCTCGGTAACTGCATACGACGAAGTGGGACATGGTGGATTCTACAACCTCGCCTATGATCTCTGAGCTTTTCAGGATTATACCGTGCAATTGTAGGACTTATCCTCATCCCGCCCAAATCAGATGGAAGAGATAAGGCTTATCAGTTAGCAAGATGGCCATCATCTGACGGATTCCTACTTCTCGCTTCGAAGATCCTGGGGAGACGCCTTTGGACTCACAACTCAACTATATAAGGTCTTTGAATCCCCTAACACAAGGTATGCGCGATTAAGTGCATTCTAGCTCTCTACTTTATTGATTTTCAACTCACAAATACCTACTGAGAACTGACTTAAGCATCGGAGCGACCTCGCCGAATTAGCCACCTCGGGTTCTCTGATCCTTCTTTCTTGTAGTTTGGGCGATCCACTTGGCAACTGACGTCTGAACTTCCTTATGGCTAGGAGCATCCAGATCGCGCACCATAAATTGGTGCCTTCTGTGGGAACCTCGTACGAAACACTAAAGTCCTTTACCGTGCAGTTATTCCCTACTCAATGGATTTTTTTAAGCAATACTGGAAAGAGTGTCGAGGTGACCGTCTTCGGGGGACAAGATCAGAGCACAACTAATCAAGAGCTCCCTTCGGTCTGCAACTGCTAGTTTACTATCCCCTTCACGACTTTGGGGATTTCTCCTTAGCAGAACTATTACGGTACACAACAGTTGAATGTTTCGCTACCTCAGGTGAGAACCACTTTCTCTGTATTAGAGCCCTTTGTGGTCCCCCTGGAGTCGGGCATCAGCAATTAGACGAGCTAGTCTAGAGTATCTGAACCATACAGTTGCAGATGAATCAGATGCACCAGTTCCAACAACTTCAACAGTACTACTTCTATCAGCAATATTGTCAGCAATTCCTACACCTGCACAACCAGCCTCAACCTTAGGACTCGAACCAGAAGCAGAATAATGTACACCGGTCTCCTCTTCGGGGTGTAAGAAATCCTCAAGTTGCAGTTCCTCCTCGGAACTAGCTTCGACCATGGGACAGGACCGAGGATTGGTGAACACCTCCTCCACCCCAAGGGAGTAAAGGTCAAAACAACTAGCTCGAGATCAGCCACTTCACACGAACTGATCAACAACAGCATTCACGGAGCAATAACCGCAAACCCCAAGTAAGTAACCAGCAGCAAATCGGGGATTGAGGCACGAGCTCACGTCGAGTCCCCTTTGATCCCTGCAACAGCCATCAACAAGTTCGGGACAACGAAGAGGCGGGAAGCTGGAACCCTCTTCCTCCTCGTGATAGCCTCCGAGAACGTGAGCGGACAAAGATTGAAGTCCAAGACAACACAGAGGTGAACAGTTCCAATGTGGAAGCAACAAAGAAGTGACGATGCTGCAAGTCCCACCAGAAATACCCCGGCACCTTGGAACAGTCAACCATTGGAATGGAGCAGGATGTGGGAAGAAGTGAGCTCTGTAGCTGCACAGCCAGCTCCAGTTCTGATGAGCCAGCCTTCCCCCTATTGTCGGAGATTCTTGCAGCACCAAGACGAAAGGACTTCAAGGTCCCCACTCTGGAGACTTACGATGGGAAGTACGACCCCAATGATCATGTTGACGCATTTCAGTCTCAAATGATCCTTGTTGGGGTAGACGAGGCAAGCACGTGCGTTTCCTTTTCTACTACTTTCAGGGGGTAGCCAGAGCGTGGTATAGAAGTTTAGCGCCGGGCTTAATTATTAGTTGGGCCTAGTTCGCCGATCGCTTCACTACCCACTTCATCACTTGTAAGAAGTGCCTGAAGTCTTAAGCGAGCATTCTAAACGTGGTGTAGAGGGAGAACGAGACCATCCGAAGTTTTATTGCGCGCTTCAATATCGAGTGTTTACAGATATTGGACCTCGAACTGGCTATCCAACTCATCGCGGTGATAAAGGGAGTCAAGTACAAGGAGTTCGCATGGTACCTCAGAGTTTATTCGCTGAAGACCATCGAGAAGTTTCTCTCTGATGTTGAAAATTTTATGAGAATAGAGGAGGCGCTTAACCCCAATTTTGAAGCCGCACCAAGAGAAAAGAGGAAAAGGGAAGATGAGGAAGCTAGAAGCAGTAAGCACCGGCGAAAAAAGAGTAAGTCACCGAGGAGAAGTATGTCTCCAAGAAAGAAAAGTAAGTCTCCATCTAGAAGTTCTAGATCAGGTCGGCGATCCAGAACCCCACTAGTTGAAAGAACGTCCTACACCCCCCTCAATGCGAAGTGAGGAGAAATCTTGATGGTGATCAAGGATTCCTCCTTTGTCAAGTGGCTGCCTAGATTGTGAGGAGACCCGGCCACCAGGAATCCGAACTACTATTGCCATTTCCATCGTGACACCAAGCACAATACTAAGAATTGTAGAAACCATTGCGACGAGATTGAAGAGCTTTTTCACTACGGGTACCTGAAGAAGTATATATTGTGTGAAGGCAGAGAATCAGTAGACCACCAAGCCGACCAAAGAAGAGAAGCTCCGGAGTCGAGCAGGCGGAATGACCAGCCACACTGGCAGCAACAATAGCCGCCTTAAGACAGACCAATCTGTGGGGTGATCAACATGATCTCCGGCGGGTCTATTGTTGCGGGGTGTACCATTGCGGTAGGAAAGACCTCAGTTTAGGAGCTCGAGCATGAAGTAGAAAATCCACTGAAAAGACCTCGGGTCGAAGAGCCCATCTACTTTATGGAGGATGATGCTCGTGGGATACAATATTCAAATGATGATGCTCTCATCGTTAAGCTAGTCATTAATGACTTCGAGGTAAAAAAGATATTAGTGAACTTCGACAGTTCAGCTGATATACATTTTTTGGAGGCTCTCGAGAAACTACAACTACAGCGAAGTGATATGTAGCCAGTAAGCTCGCCTCTAGTAGGGTTCAATGGATGCATCAAAGTGACAGTTGCAGCAGGAACGTGACCCAACTTAGTGCACTTCGAGCACACCTTCCTCGTGGTCACAACTGTGTCCTCCTATAACGCAATTTTAGGTCGACCCATTCTGCATGCCCTTCGTGTAGTCGTGTCCACCTACTATCTGGCAATGAAATTCCCAAAAGACTGTGGAGTAGGGGTTGTACGAGGTGACTAGTT